ATGCGAGAAAATCCCGATCCGGATACCAACAATATGATGATCGAATCACTGGCCAATAAGAAACTGGAAATTGTAAACGCGTACGTGTGATTGGTTGATGATAGAAACACCCTCAACTTGCTAACCAATAGCGCTTGCTAACCGTTAGCGTATCCGGATACCGCTAACGGTTAGCGCTAACCGATCGGGCGTTCTCACGCAGGTGCTAACGGTTAGCGCTAACGGTTAGCTCCCGATCCGGATACTAGGGCTCTCGTGAGAACCAGGCGTAGTGTCCCTCACACTAAAAATAAATATTCATATGTTATCACTGATCACTGAGCCTGGTTCTCTCGGTTAGCGATAACCGTTAGTATCCAGATACCGCTAACGGTTAGCAAGCGCTATCGGTTAGCAAGTTGAGCGTGTTTCTAGCCTGGTTCTCACGAGAGCCCTAGTATCCGGATCGGGAGCTAACCGTTAGCACCTGCGTGAGAACGCCCGATCGGTTAACGCTAACCGTTAGCAGTATCCGGATACGATCATCATATTTTTGGTATCCGGATCGGGATTTACTCGGATGGACGCACGGCAGCTAACGGTTAGCAGGATCCGGATCCTGCTAACCGTTAGCAGCCGTGTGAGAACATAGCCTTTGCTACATCACCAACCAACGCAGAATTTTGGAGCCTAGTTTTTTGGTGACATATCTTTGTTTATACGTTCACATTAGTTTTCGTTTTACTAGTTTGGCAATTCGGCAACAAAAGCATAGCACGTTGTGACGAATACTACTTTCACGTGCATACATTTCTGTCCGTCGATAGTGCAAGAAAGCTTTGGACCCTTAATGATTCCATTTCAAATAATGAATTTACTATCCATAAACTTATACGTGCATCATGGACTAGTTAGAATTACATAGTGCAGTAATAATGGACATTTCCGAGTACTGTGATATACGTTCCCGAGACACAGCTGTTAAATCCCATTAGCCCGAGAATTTACGATCCTTCTTGACATTTCGTCACCGAAACGATACAAAAAGGCTTACTCGGATACGCACTGTGTACGAATAGATTTCACTGGCATGTGTACTTGAATCCAACGCTTCGTGGCCTGTACTAACTTAAGAATTACAAGTTTTGCTTGTTAGACGTCATGATTTTTGACTTCTGATGTTGCACTATGTGTGTAAGTATACCTGGTAGTTCTTCAACGATCCACATTTGTAAATAGGCTAGTATTTTAAAGTTAACTCGTTTTAGAATGAGTAAAGATTTACAACAATAGCTCAACTGCAAAATGTAATTTAGTATAGGTGGATTAGAGTACGTTGAAACACCTCATTAACAGCAGCTCCAACAAAAAAAAGTGTGTAACTAACTTCGCTCTGCATGAAAACCACTAGTTTAAACCGTTTTATACAAGTATTAGAAAAATGAAAATATAAACATAATATTACGCAACTAATTGTGTCAAAGTGTGTATTTTTGTACCACGAAGTCATTTGGTATAATCGCCTACTGCACAATAATTTCAGTGGTTTATTCTAACATTAAGAGTCATTGGCATTATAGACTTATTTAGATATATTTTGGGTAATTCATCAACTCATTTTCATATGACATCCATTACTCTGTCGACACACACAGCGCCAACGAGGCTGACGCGATTTCATGGAGAACGCAATGCGACGAGGCGCGCGCAACAAATCGTTTTTAATGACAATTCGCTCAGCTACCGGCAATTAGAAGACGGTGATTGATTCGCCAGCAGACATTCGTTCGACTGTCGTACTGTGCAGTGCGTCACGCGACGGATAGTTATTTTCTTGACAATCCGTACAGAATACCACCAACGGTCAACGGTCGTTTCAGTGCGCACGCTTATTTATAAGAGAGGTGCTTATTTGAGAGTGGCGCTTATTATAAATTATTTTCGGAGAGTTAAAATGATCCTTATGTGTCGTATAAGTCTATCTGACTTGTTGTAGCTTTAATATTCTTCATTTTGTGAGAAATTGGTCATTTGATACGGTAGATTTTCGATCAAAACCACACGTCAGGTAATATGTATCCACGTTTGTCGTGACGTTTATTCAATATAAAATATATCATTATTAAGGTCCGCAGTGGTTATTTTTGAGAGCGGCGCCTAAAACCAAGTTTGGTGCGCTGATCCAGAGAAAATTCGATAATTTAGAGTAATATAGAACTCTTCCCACGGTAAATTGTAGGGAAAATTGTCGTTGATGAGCACATCATTGAAATTTGTGTGAAAACGTGTGAATAAATTACTATTTATTTTAATCTTATTGAATATATAATGTTTGTCATTCTCTTGCAGTAATCGCTCCCGCGTGGAATAGTGAACTCGCAAATCCGCTGACGAGAAGTGAGTTACTGGACCTGTTCAACAAGCTAAGCAAAAGGATTTGGGTAAAATCAACGTAAAATGGACAAAATTTCGACTATGTGATGACTGTGTTTCATGTCTACAAGGAATGCAAAACAAACAAATTTACGTCTAACGTTTCATTTATAACAAGCTTCAACCACACGGCAGTGTTTATATCAGTGATAGGCCTATAGCAAACAATAAAAAAAAAAGCAGGAAAATAGGAAATAACGGTAAGCACAGCACGCCCTCAACTTTTCACATGTTTCGTAACGCATATGCCTACTTGGTAAGACCAACAACGACTGTCCATTGTAACATTAAGTATATTATTAAAGATTTTATTTTCAAAGGAAACAGAACAAATACACAATAACAGAAACTCCAAAACGACTACAGGAGGCCACATTCAAGTTTGTTTATTTGGAAAACTGAAAACCAGTTACAAGGAATATATTAAGCACGTTCAAGTTTCCTAATTTCTGAATGAAATAAATGCGCTAGCTTATTGCAAAACACTTTTTGTCTGAAAATCGTTCGAATATCTTGCCAGTATGGACAACTTTACAGGATTTGTAACTGAACGGGTTCCAACAAGCGTAGTTTATCAAAAAGTAAGCGACATCGGATCACTTCTTATATCCATCGTCGCCGTGCTCGGAAACCTCGTCGTCATCGGTGCAGTTAGCATATTCCGACCTCTTCAACGTAAGCATAACATTCTGGTTGTGAACTTGTCTTTTGCTGATTTTGCATACGGATGCGTGAGTACTTTTTTGGTGCTCGTGGTAATGGTGTCAGAAATCAGCCCCGAAGCCGGAGTAGCTGCAATGATAATGATGGACTGCTTCACCATCATATCATCTCTTAGTATCCTAGCAATTACGTTAGAACGAGCTTTTGCTATCATGGCTCCTTATAAACACACAAAAGTTGTAACTCAGAAACGACTTGTTTGCCTCGGCATCACTTGCTGGTTTACTGGTGCGCTCTTCAGCTTTGTCAGCGTTGACATCTCTTGGTACATATATGACTGCACCATGGACACTACGATAATTACTATTCCTACATTTTTAGCCTGTGTGTTGTACATACCCATTTTCATTATAGCAAACCGACATGCACAGATGTTGAGGAGTAGAGTTGGAATGGGTAATAAGGTGAAAACAGCCCTTAAAACGCTGAAAACATTTGCAATCGTTGTTGCTGTTCTTTGGACATGTGTCGTCTGTTCTCTGGTTAGTATCATTAATTGTGCGCAATGGAAAAACAAGAGTGATTATGAACGAAGTGGACGAGCTCTTCATATACTTCTTCTCGCATTCCCACTTAGCGCAGCTTGTAACCCATTCATCTATTGCTGGCGAAATGCTATGTTCCGTAGCGGAGTTAAAACATTCTTTCAGAGGATGTTTGCCTGCAACAACTCTGAGATGTACTATACTTCCGATACCGTCATGAGAACGACATAGATTGTGCTCAAAAAGGACAAGTTGTTGATTTTCCGCATCACAAGTTAATCACAATAACGATAAGTGCTTCATTTACACACGTCACATAATATTTCACATACACATTTCAATATGTTTGTTTAAGAAAACTTTAAGAGGTTTTTACTGATTAAAATTATAGCACCTGACAACGATTGAAATCTGATGGATCATCAGAAACAAAAAGGAAGTGTGATGACCTTTGCACTTTAAATCCTTGAACTGACATCGTTTTACTGTGATTATGATGGTAAAATTCACAAGTCATCAGTTCAAGTAATTATTTAAGACACGGATAAATATACTTAGTCAGTGATTGCACAAAGTCGCACTGGCCTAACCTTTCGACGTACCCTGGTTCAGAGAGAAGTAAGGTACGGTACTGCAGAGGGCGAATCTTATAATGTAGGACAGAGCACGGGAACCTTGCAACCAGGCCGTAGGAGCAGAATATAATTTACTAGCGAAAGAAAGACATTTGAATTGACTATAATTCTATGTAGTTTATGTCAATGATGATATAAGTAAATCCTCTGAATATACACATAAAGTAATGTGAAGTGACCATTCATGTAATTTGACGGTACATTGTCACTTACAATGACGTCAATCGGCCTGACCAAACACTTTTTGAATCTTTAAATGTAGATTTTCTGAAATTAATTGAAGCTGTTTTCCGAGTACAAATAAGATGCATTCATTAGTCGATCTATCAATCGACTTTCTCATCAATGCATTCCAGTCGCGTGTCGCCAACCTTTTTTGTCTTCTAATAGGAAAGAAAGAAATCGCGAGTTAATCCTACATTGCTTATAATCAAATCAATATCTGCTTATGTGGCTTATTGTTTATTTTACGAGAATAAAAATAACTACAAAGACGTATTAGACTAGGTTTAATAAACTGTAATTGTGTTGCTGGACAATACGCACTTATAAAATGTGCGACATCGATCCTGAAGAGTGCGACAATGTTGGATCATAAAGTCTGTGATTTTTCAATGTAGGTCTAGTCGGCAAAAATAAACGCACTAGTTTTACGTGAAAACCACTTCGGCTAATAATCACAATAATCCAGGGTTATGAGAAAACCACTTCGGCTAATGATCACAATAATCCAGGGTGGTGTAGAGACTTTAGCCTCCTCCCACCATTTAACAAGTGTGTTATTTTATGACTGTTAAATAATAAACTTGCATAATTAAAACTTTAATTTAAGACCTCTGAATGAATTAGTTTACTAACCACACCCGCGTCATGAGGGGGGGGGGGTGGTTAAGAAGGTTGATTCAAATCATTAACGAAAAATCCTGGACCCTCCCCTGGTATCCATACGGTAAGTCGATGCAACAGTGATTATAAACACAATTAAAGAGGAGGAACAACAGCAGCATCACGTAACCAAATATTATCGACCAAAACGTTCTTAAAACAAAAAACATAGTTTAGGCCAATGTTTACAACTGCAACAAATTACTGGCAGACTAGTAAATAAACAACCTTTAGATGTTTCATGGGTGCTAAAAGGTTTTCTCAGCAACAAACGACCAGTCAATTTATAGCATGATTAAAATAAGAGGCCAGAGATGTATCGCGTGTTGCCAACTAATAATTACATGCACTGTTCGCACGTAGATTGAATAGGATAGATATTATGGGAGAAATCTCCGAGGAGGAATGCAGATGTCAGATATTAATTAACTTTTATTGAATAACAAGATTACTTGAATACAAAAAAAGAATTTGTGTTACAATTTGCAGTATAATTTAGTTCTGAAATATTTAATTCAGAAATGATTCTATGTAACTAAACCTTCAAACGAATAGGAAACTTGTCGGTGGGATTGAAATTAATTTATCATTGATGCTAAATTTATTTGTAGTAATGTTTTTTTTTTCGACAGATACATTTCTTTTATTTTCTTCACATCGAACAGCAAGTACACTTACATGATAGAATGATGCTTTATAAACCAAATCTCTTTAAGAGGCTTAGGGAGTTGCTTTTGGTCATGAGAAAAAGTCCTGCTGTGAGAGGAATTGAACCCAGGACCTTGGGATCGGAAGGCAAGCATCTTAACCACTAAGCTAATTCCACTCCATATATTATTATTATTATTATTATTATTATTATTATTATTATTATTATTATTATTATTATTATTATTATTATTATTATTATTATTATTATTATTACAAAGATAAAAGCTAAGTACAATGAAAAATCATTCAATAAAAATGGCAAATACACATTACTACATCAATAAATTTTCCTACAATATTGCCATTTAGGGATAAAAATGCAAGAACAAAACACTGTGAATAAGAAAGTTTAAAAATTATGAATTAACCAAGTAATTAACACAACTATAAAAACTACTCTTTATGGGAAAGGTTTGTTTTTAGAAGTTTTTTAAAAATATTGCACACTGGAGGCCTGGCGGATCCGATAGGGGAGATTATTCCATAGTTTGGACCAATCAAAATGGACCGTTTCCCTAAGCCCCGCCCATTAAATATTGTTGCTAATTTCCGACATAGCGTAAACGATACGTAATCTTGTGTTTGTGGGAGAAGCGAGCAGTGGCGTAGCCCTATCTAGGAGTCATAAATTGGAGGTGCTGACGGGGTGGGGGGCGATCATCGGTTGGGGGATATCTAGCAAAAGTTAATGGTGATTTTAGGTGCTTTTTAACGACTTGACCGTTATTTTATTTTTTTTTTTGAGGGGTAGATTCGCCTGGGGGAGCGCTAGTGATTTTTGGAGGGGCGTGCGCACCCCCTAAATACGCCACTGAAAGCGCGTATACCTACTCCTTCTCTGGTTGCTCAGTTGTTAAGCTTGATTGAAACACTGGAGAGTTACATTTCTTGGGCTAAATAGTGACTGAAGTAGCGGTAGGACCTATGCCGCCACACAGCACTCTAAAATCTAAACACTAGTACATAAAATAATATAATGGGTAACCAATAAATATAAATTTAAATTGCATGCACTATTTAAACAGATATAATATTATCATATAATTATATCATTCCGCTAATGATGATTTATTAGTAATAAATACGAAAGTATTACTAAGGACGGATAATTGAACAGGATTCGAATATTTGTTTACTAAAAATATTTATTTAACTACGGTATTTATTACATGTATATTATGAATGACTACATTATGTACAACACATATCTCAGAATTTTGTTATGTTGACAATAAAATAGACTTGGTATCTTGTATCTTGTAAATAATTGCAATATTGATAATATTAATAACAACGACAATAACAATAAAAATAAAATAACAACAACAATAATTACTAAATATGATAATAATAATAATAATAATAATAATAATAATTATTATTATTATTATTATTATTATTATATAGTAGTAATCAATATTATGTATATATACTTGTAAATAATTAGGTGTTCTATATATACATTGTTACCTGTACATGTCTGTATGTACCTTAATCCAATTATCAATATGGGATTATATAAAATAAACAGTGTTCAAAGAGATTAGTTAAACCATGTTAAACATAGACACAAAAGGTCACTGATTGCCAGTGAGGGACTACAAATGCCGTTTAGATGGCTTTGTATGATTGATTCGTATTCTCAAGTAGTTTGTTATGACCCGGCTAATTGTTAAAATAATTGTATTTTACGATGAGTGGTGTTGTCGGCAAAGTTGACGCAATTACGGAATTAGCGTTTGACCACGTTGTTAGTTTATGCTCGCCATGTCCTATATATTGGTGAATTGAAAGTGACTTTGAACAAGTTTGTTTTATTAGTAACGATGTAACATAGAGTTGAATTTATTTTTATTGATTAAAGTTGTTGAACACAATGTCAGTATGCTCGTTGCCCCCATTTTTTACGTCACCAAACGCTAGAGAACGAATCTTGAGTATTTGTAAACAACTCAGTGGTTTTTGCCTTACTCTTTTGCTCGTATTGATTGTAAGTTATGTTATAATGGTTTACCTTCTGTCAGTTTCACATTCTACGAGGACTGGTTAAAGTTATAATGTTGTGTCTGCGTTGAACTGAAAAAAACTTCGAAAACTGACTTATTGCAATCTGATTCTCATGGATGTAATTTCTTTAATCATTTTAAATGAATCTCAATGGCTCGATACAACTTTACATTGTCAAAAATATATATGTCTCAACAATGAGTCCTACTTTATATGATTGTGGTGATTTAAGTTATTGGTTGGTCACGTCATAAATGCATTTTATTGCACAAATTGATATTTGATAGCTTAAGCAAATCTCAACGGGATCACACTGTTTTCGCCTCACCGCCAGTACAATAAATGGACAAGGAAATAAGGCATTGTTTTTTAGTCTGTTTCATTTATGCGTCCAGGCTTTCTGAGAATACATCATGTAAATCTGATGATAGTTCTGCGCACCGTTGCAATTGTTTCGATTACTGGTACTCACTAATCTGAATTATTTTCGACAACTCCAATAAATATCTAGTTTTCAGTGAACCTACTATTCTATACTCGTATTTTAATGGTTTTATGTCCTCAAACGTGTTCAGGTTTTTAAGATATATACCATGTTCAAGGAACAGTGCCTTGTATCAATCAATCAAGTAATAGAAAGAAAGTATCACTTTCAGAAACAAACAAGCCTAACGAAGGTATTTGGAAAGTTATTCCAAGAATGGTATCTTTCAAAGATTGGTCCTGATAACTTACTCTGTAGAATAACAAGTGTTGATATGTTAGATAAAAATACAAAGATAAAGATACCACAATTTTACAAAGACGTTTTACTCTCATTGTCAGAATTTAATGTTATAAATCAAAGTAATCCCATTAACTATAAAGACATTATCAAACAAAATATTTGGTGTAATTGTCTGATTAAGTGTAGAATGAAATCCATCTGGTATAAACAATGGATCGACTCTGGATTCATGAACATTAACGACATTCTTATACATGGAAAAATTACCCAGAAATTGTTAGTAAACTTAAAGGTAATGCCAATTGGATGATTGAATATTTGAACATCTTAAATTCTATTCCAAAACATTGGAAAAATTGTATTAATTCATATAAAGGAAGTGCACTTGCCCTCGATACATTACAGCAAAATAATGTGCTTAAGACTGTCAAAACAAAAATTGTTTATAATCACTTTGTATCAAATGTTTATGCTATTCCATCCTCTCAGAGCAGATGGGAAGATGATTTCAATGTTGATAACTGGTCAATTGCATGGAAGAACAAAATTCATTTAATTGATGAGTTCAAAATTACTCAATTTAATCTAAAACTTTTACATAGAATTATCCCAACAAACCAGAGGCTATTTAAATGGAAAATAAAAGCAACTGATATTTGTACAGTTTGCAAAATTCCTGAAGATGATGAACATCTTTTTTTTTCCTGTATTGAAGTTAATACTTTTTGGAATAAAATCAATACTAATGTCAAATTTTTGTAACATTGAAGTCAACTTTAAACTTATTATCTTGGGATGTCAAAATAGGCTTGCTAAATTGGTTGATATCTATGGGGGCATTTAGAATTTACAAGAGAAAAATTCTATTAGAAAATGACCAATGGGGTAGTAGATCTCTATTTGCTCTATTTATCGCCGAGATAAAATGGAGGATCAACTGCAATAATAAGATACTTCGATCTGTTGCATCCAGGGATCTAAAGTGTTTGTACGACTTGTTAGATACGCATAGATAACATTCATATACTGTATTTGGCTGTTGGAATTTTGGTGCCTTGATTTTCTGTATCACTGATGTAAAAAACCAATAAATTAACAATACAAAAAACAATATAATAGAAAATAAATTTTTAAAAAAATACTTAAAAAGGTGAAAATATTAACATTGAAAAAAAAAATAATACACTTATTGATGAGGTTCAGTCATTTTATTGAATTTGATTTGAATATTGTGTTGTTTTGATTGATGGAATGTTTTTTTTTGTGATAAATAAAAGTGGTGGTTTCACTACAAGAGATAAAAAAACAAGCCTAACGAACTTACTTATTTAGATTAGCTAATAAGAATCACTTTCCTAACAAATTCAATATTTCATAATAGCATTAAAAAAAAACTTGACAAACCAATTATGACAAATAACGACTCCAAAACTTATCAGTGATTGCAGGGTTGTAATATTTTAATTTTTGGAACGTTAAATTTGCGATAGATTGCTCAGTTTTTCCAAATAAATATAATGGGCGTATTCGACTGGTTTATTTCATTGACTACAAATTTTCGTTGAGTATTATTTTCATTCGACCGGGTCGTAAAATAGACCTCGTTGACAACGAAAATTAACGTACATACAGTGCGTTAATCTGTTATCCACGTGACCAAAACAAACATGGCCGATTGGTCAGTTTAGAAACAACATTGGCGTTAATATAATTTTGATTAAATTTCAGAAAATAAAAATTATAATATTTAGGCCTACCCACATGAAGTCAAAAAATAATTGTAGCCCAACAGAATTAAAAAACTGGATGAAAACATTTCTTTTACAAAAAAATCTGTACTGCCACCACAAGCCGTAGAAATCTTGATTATGCAGCGTGTATTGCGGTAACTATGCAACCATTTTGTTTTGGCGAGTATTTACAAGTTTTCTATTCGACTGGTCGTCTTCGTCAAGTAGGAATTTACCACTGCGCAGGTGGGCGTGGTTTAACGAAGAACGACCAACCGAATACGCCATAGTTATATTTACATGCCTCTACATGGCTAGCTCATTCTACTATTCTACCGTTTCTTGGCATGCTCATTTCTGTTAATAACAGTAAAGTTGTAATTGGTGTCTTTTTTTTATTTTTCCACCGACTATCATAGATCTATGTGATTTATCTAAGGCATTCAATAACAAAAATTACAATATTCTTATTCACAAAAGTTAGAAACTTAGGGTATACATGAGCTTTTATTATAACTTTAGAAGTCATGGGCCTATAGGCCTATTACATATCGACAGTCGCCAATTTCCTTCATTCAATCTCTACTTTGTCAGAAATCACATAAAGAGAGTGCCCCAATACTGAATTAGGCCTATAGATCTTCTTTTGTTTCATATTTATGTCAACAACATGCCAAAC